CCCCAAAACCCCAAAACCCCAAAACCCCAAAACCCCAAAACCCCAAAACCCCAAAACCCCAACAAACTTACCTCCGATTGCTTATATATTATAATTTATATCAATAATGGGCAACTGCACTTTTGAAAGCAATAAGTCTGATAATACTTCAACTACTCTTATCTCTAAGAATAACTTTATGTACCACTACGTGATCGGGAAGGGAGGCTTCGGCAAAGTCTGGAAGGTAGAGAAATAAATAAATCCCCTACCCGCTACGCAATGAAGGAGATGTCAAAGGCAAGAATACTTGCCAAACGATCAGTCACTAGTGTCATGAATGAACGTAAACTGCTTAATAAGTTGAAGCATCCCTTCTTGGTCAATATGTGCTATGCCTTCCAGGATAGAGAAACCTTGTACCTTGTCATGGATTTACTTACTGGAGGAGACATGAGGTATCATATTGGCATCAGACAGAAGTTTACTGAAGCAGAAACTAAGTTTATCATACAGTGATTAGTCATTGGGTTAGAGTATATGCACAATAATTCAGTGATCCATCGGGATATCAAACCTGAGAACCTCGTCTTGGATGAGAATGGGTATGTCAGAATTACTGATATGGGAATTGCAAGGATCTGGAATAAAGAAAATTCCAAAGAAACAAGTGGTACACCTGGCTACATGGCCCCAGAAGTTATGTGAAGGCAAAACCATTCTTTTGTGGCAGACTACTTTGCAGTAGGAGTTATAGCCTTTGAGATGATGATGGGCAGACGCCCTTACATTGGGAAATCTCGGAAAGAGATCAGAGATCATATTTTTCAGAAACAAGTGCAAATTAAAAAGTATGATTTGCCTGAAGATTGGTCTTTTGAAGCAGCCGATTTTATTAATAAATTATTGCAAAGAAAACCAGCAAATAGGCTTGGTTTGAACGGTCCTGAAGAGGTTAAGTCTCACATATGGCTCAAAGACACTGATTGGGATGCCTTAACAAAGAAGAAACTCACAGCTCCGTATATTCCTGATACTGATAATGATAACTTTGATGCTTTACAAGCAAATGCCTCTGATAAATGGAATGATGAAAATCGAGACCTTTTGAAAATACATACACTGGAGTTGAAGAACCTCAAAACTCAGGAACTGTTCAAGAGTTATTACTACACAAAGGATGATATTTTAGTGACGGAGGAGACTGAGAAGAAGCCAGTTAAGGCTCCACTCAAACCTCCGAGGAAACATAAAAGAGTATTTTCTGTTCAATGGTAAATTTTATTAAATTCAACAGTCTCAATGTTGTTCAAGGATTCTGGGGTTTTGGGGTTTTGGGGTTTTGGGGTTTTGGGGTTTTGGGG